ATAAAATATTAATAAGAGAGATTTGATATCACACCCAAGCGGTATAACCACTTGAATCCATAAAAACGTGGGCTTGAACTGTCCCAAAATTTCTATTTTTTAGCTTTTCTCCTAAACTATGATATCTTTTTTTCTTTTTTTTTTTCCGTTTGAAACCGACGACGCCGCGGGGACTGCATGCTTCCGCGATAAACTATGATATCTAGAAAGTTGAATGATAACTCATTAAAAAGGAATTATTAAGTAGATACTAAATGTGGAATTAAAATTTAAAAAAAAAATTATTTAATTTTTCACAGATAAAAAAAAGAGTTATTTTTTGCTAGATTTTAATTTAGCGAAGTAGATTTCCAAAACTGGGGAACGGATTTTGTTGTTTAGGGTCTTGTTGGATTCACATTGGCTAGGAGAAGTGCAATGAAGATTTTCAGAACTTTATCTCCAATCATTAATTAATTCACTACATATCTGTAAAAATGAAAAACATCAGAAAACGCCCAATAAAATTTGTTTTAATTTTTTTAATGATCTGTAGTGAATTAATTATTAAAGATAAAGTTCTGAAAATTTTCACTGCACTTTTCCTAACCAATGTGAATCTAACAAGATCTCAAAAACGCTCTCTGGTTTCGGAGATCTATCTCATTAAATGAAAATGAAAATGATTTTTTGTGGGGCTGTTCACATGGACATTTTTCTGAATTCAAATTATTATACCTATCGGTTGTGATATCAGTTAATAAATTTCTAAACATTTCTAAATCAAGAAAGTTTGCATGCTACCTTTTGTCGCGATAAAAGGTTAAATTTTAGGTGCTCAAACAATGAATTCAAGATCCACTATGGAAATTGAAACTTTTTAGTTGTTCATAAATTGTTGCCATTGGTTGCAGACTATAAGAGTAATAATTGTAGAAATAAGTTTTTTTTTCTATTTTGGTTGCTATATTTGGTTAATCAGGCAGATCAGGTAAAGGCATGCATCAAATCGAATTTTCACACATTGCCGACCAATAATAATAACAGTAATACCTTCCATCATACAAATACGGTATAATTACCGTACTGCAATTGTCAGATGTAAACTGTTTACATCTGACAGAAACTGCAAACTATAGGGACCCACCTTATTGCCAGAACCACAATAGTATATTGTAGCTCCTATAGCCCTCCCCCCCCCCCCAAAAAATGTCCATAGCCCTCTCATACATTTCCTACATTTTGTTTTAAACTCATTCAATATTACCAAAGTAAGGCTTTATTTTCGCCTATGGGCTATGATTGTATGGTAAGTGCGGGAAGACGCGGACGACGTTTGCGGCACGAGCCACACATACTATTTTTTGCCACGCCTCTGCGTTCATCGATCACGCCATCAAGGGAAAGGTAATGTAGGCTAAGATGTACCCAACAACCAGACTATTCTACGAAAAAAATATTTCATGAAAGAAACGATTGGGTTTTATTTATTTTAAGCGTCATTCATGGAGGTTACAATATGAATATAAGATGTCACCAAAAGTGTATGTTTTGTAAGGACCGGGGTATACTGGTATAGATTTCAGTGTCTGGTTGTGCAAAGGACACGCGTGATATGCGAGCCCAGCCCTTTTGGGGATTTCCACATTACCACCCGGCACTATGGGGATTCCCACTTTACCACCCACTGGACGGAAAAGGTCACTTTCCAACGCTTCAGCCGTCATCCAAAACTAAACTTTCGGTGTAGGCGTGACAAAAAATATATGTTATAATCGCCAGTACCTACCATCAAAGTGTAGGTGTATATGAGTCAAACAATGTCCTATCGATTGTCATTTAATTTGTAACCATTTATAACCCAAATTTAAAAATGTGTACACCTTCACAAACTTAGGAAAAGATTATTTAATAAATAATATAAAATAAAATAAATAAATAAACTATTACCATACGAACTAGTGGAACTATGTAATACGAGATGTTTTATAATTTTACGACTATCTAAAGTGATCATTTGAATTGCCTAAACAATACCCCGTAAAAAATTGTTACTGTCATTACGTCATAATAATAATATTATGTTCATTTGCCATGCAAGGCGTTATAAAATAAATATGAAATAAAAGTTGAAATTAAATGAAACAAAGTTAGGTAAGTTTTTTTAGATATTTTAAATAAACATTTTATAAAAAGAAAATATAAAAAGAAAAAGTTCTAAAGAAAATGAAAAATATAACACTGAAATGTAAAATTCGGGGTCTATGGCGTAATATTATTTATCGGTATAGGGTTCTGAATTTTAAATATTTCACTTGATATCTTTGAAAATCAAGAATTTCACTGTTCTTGAAATATTTCAATGGAATTATGAAAAATATTATTTTTTTTATACAAATCTTGATATAGATTATTAGTATCGATTATTGACATTGATTGATCTATCTCCTAATAATTGGGTCTCTATTATTCGTTGATGTTTTTGGAGTCGAATGATGGAGTTGATGTTTTTGATTTGTACAAAAGTACCTATTATAGTTTCGAGTATTTGTACATGTGTACTTATTTGTATGTGACTATAAGTACTCATTATATAATATTCATATTAATAATAATAACTAATAACTAATAACACTACAATAGTTTTGTAATATAATATTACGATTTTTAATAAATTATATTCAACTAAATGATAAGTATAGAACATCTAACTTTTTATTTTAGTTTTAAAATGTGTTAAGATGTTGTGTTCAAGCTTTCTAGTTTGAGACTTATATGAATGAGTCATGTGCTTATGACTATGAGGTTACGTAGTTATGTTTCAATAATTTTATATAGTTTTTAAAATTATAAGGGCTTACTTACTACGCTGTATATCAATGGCTTTATATATTTTGTTTTATACAATAAACGTCATAATATACTTTTAAAAATTTTCATTCGCTTTAATATTCATATAACGATATAACTAGATAGGTATTAATACTATTTTTTAAATTTAATTTTAGATCGATTTCTATTTTTTATCACACTAATGAACTAACATTTCAATAAAATAAACTGCATTTAATCTTATGAACCCTGTGTCGGATAACCGATATGAGGATTAAGGATGGATAACATCTGTATTGTACCCTATTATAAAATAAAACATAGAATACGGTCTCCGTTTCTCGTTTTGTTATACAAATAATAACTTGAAAATAAAATCGCAGCCCGTCAATCATATGGTAGGTACACATGACCCGGAAGTTTCGAAAACTGTCAAAACCGAAGGTTTTCTGTCCTCAAGTGTCGTTTTGTGAAATAATCATAAGACGCGCACCTACTAAATTATACACGTGACCCACTACAAACCTCTTTACGTCTTAGGGCGTGGTATCTAAGGAAAGAACTATAGCATGCGTTGCAATATTGTTATAATAATAATATTAAAAAATCGTCATGACACCTGATATTGTCATACCATCGAGGAGAACATTAGTGTATATAGTTAGGTATTCAAATATCGTTTGTATAGTGAATGATTGTTGTTTTTTTTTTTTTTAGATATGATAAAACTATAAAAGGTACGTTAGGTATCGAAAAAATTACCAAATATTATGCACTCTCACGACGAGTATTTGTGTACGTTTACTAAATTATGACAGCTAAGCACGACCCTATGTCGTGTCTTAGTGTAAATGTTGTATACAAATTTTAAAGTTTGATGCAAAATTCCTTTTTTTGTGTTATGAATTGTGAGCAATTAGAATTGTGTGAAGTCAAATAGATATAGGTAGATGCAAGCCTGGACATAAACGAGTAACGAGTTAAAATGTTAATATTAAGTTAATTTTAACTTTTTAAATTTCATTTTCATTAACTCAATTTTTAACTTAACTGATTTTTATTGATATAAACTTTTAATCAAATCCAATTTATATCAAAATAATAGATAAGTTCATTTATAAATAATAAAATAATAAATAAAAATAAAATAATTATTGATGCACATTGCATAAACATTTACTTTTTATTATTTCAATCATATTATCTATTGGATATTTATATATTTAAAATAAAAATTAAAACAACTTATCTTAAGTTAAAAAGTTAATTGTAATTTGTAAGTTTTCATGTTATAATCTTTAACTTAACTGAGGTAAAAAAAATATTATAGGACAACCATTAACTTTAAGCTTTTTGAAATATTTTCTTTCAACTTAACTTGAATAATTTAAAATTATCATTAACTTGCCCAGGCTTGGGTAGATGTTACTGCTTTAATTTTCTGCAAATAGTAATGCGCTAATGCATATAACAATTATATAGTAATATTACTATCGAGTCCATCGGTTTGTTACGTTTTACTCGAAGTAAGGAATTTCGATTATACGAGTAGAAATATTAAACAAACGCTTTGACATAAAACGTAATAATATTGTGTATTACAAAAATAGAGGGAGAGTAAAAAAACATTACAATTATAGTTATAGTATATCAAACGGTATTGAAAAACTTAACGTATTTGTGACAAACAAAAAAAAAATGCCATAAGTACGTTCCTAATTAAAACATTTTTATAAGAAAACAAAATAAAACAATTTACTAGGAACTTAATTACGAGATGAGTGTTATTCTACATATACCTGGTATATAGAGCAACGTCATTGTAACGAACATACCACGGCTAAACAATATAAACCGCATCAGTTATTATCAGTTATCACTTATCACAATAATTTATCTTTGTTATATTTTACAATAATAATTACACATATAAATAGCATATAGCATCTTATTATTATACAACTGTAGTTTATAACATAATATTATGTATTATTAGTTATTACGTATGAAAAACATTAATATATTAATCATCATCGTACACACTTTATATACATCACACGTTCAAAATAAAACGTATCTCCACGTGATTTTAAATAACAATATACACATAGGCAGGTGTATAATTATAATATTATTATCAGAGACTCGATGACGCTCATCGGTCCTATATAGTTGGTCTCCGGTCAGATCTACCGCTTGTTCAGCCTGTACCATATGACCGTTGTGGTCAGCACGTAAGTGCACAGGAAAAAGAAGCATATGTAGAAAAATTCGGGATAGATGTTCACCTGGGCGAACTCCATTTCGGTGAGAAACTTCATCGGGTTCTTGTAGTGACAGTACATCTCGTCGGAGCACGGCAAGACGCCTCTGCCGAAACCGTACAGCGTGTACACCAGGCTCTGGAACGATCCTCGTACGAAACTGAAATAGTGAAGCCACACGTAAATGGCGGGTATGTCCGTAAATCGTATCGCAAACCCGAACACGGACAGGAGCACCACGAATACCGGTCCGACGAATACAGACACCTGAAACAAAAATTCATTGGGCATTATGACCTCACTCGAGGGTATAATTGTCGTAGGTATATTTCTCATAAGCACGATTATATTTTTTTCAATTTATTCGCTTCGCATTATAATTGTTTGCAGAAATTACATTAGGTACGCCATGCGGTACAATCCAAAAACATGAAATATTGAGAAAATATATACTTTGTTCAACGAGAGACCGCACGGCGCCCCGACCAAAACTGGTTCCCCCACGCAACATCCTGCCATAGGAGAACCGGTTTCGATAGCAGCGTGACGCGGGGGGAGGGGGGGGGGGTGCGCAGAATCAGTGCGTTCTCTCGTTGAACAGGGTATAGAAATATTTGAAAAACAATTATTACATTAATTTGGATACTATTATTATCTATATTGAGATATGAATTCTATAATATCAATACGATCACACGTTATTGATGAAGTATCTATTATGACGTATATTATATAATATCGATTAAGAGTTGAAAATAAATTAACTTGCTTAAATAGTACGAAACAATATCATTGTAAAAGTATTTTGATGATATTTATATTTACACCAAGATACGACTATTTTCGTTATAATAATATATTGGGATTACGTATCCATCACTTAACAAAAATAAATTGATTAAAATAATAATTATAATAATATTTTATAATCTAAAGAAATATTTAATTAATAAATACTTAATTGGTTCAAACAAGTCTAAGGAAGTCAATATAGTATTTCGATTGGAAAGCGGTGAACGACTAGTATTTATTAACAGACAATGCGAATAGAAGAAATACAACAAAACTTACTTTGACTGGCATAGTAGCACCGCACAAGAACCCGGTACTCTGTGACGTCAGGGAAGTTACTACCAGGAATATAGTGAAGTAACTGAATCTCATCAATTCCAGTGGTTGGCTAGTCATGATATACGAAGGCACAATGTAGACGAGGCAACACAGTATCTACGATAACACAAAAACAATTAAGATTAAAATAATAATATACAACGCGTGTTTATTACCATGTATAGCCCGGTATAGGCATACGCTTCTTGGATAAAAAAAGACTATACATTGTGTTCAACTTAAGGTAAACACTGGACTATAAACCAATCTTTTATTGGGATCAAGAAATAAAAACTTAAACCAACATTTAGACTAGTGTGGAAAAAAATTACGAGATGCAATATTGATATTTTATTTATTTATTTTAATTAATTTCTTTCTTTAATCCATTAAGCATAACTCACTGTACTTTATTGTGTCTCTTGACCTCACCTGAAACGGTATTTCAACCAGCAATATGGATATCATGTACGGAAAAAGTGTGAACCAACTGTTAAAGTGTTCCCGCTTCAAGACCTTGTACTCTAATGGAACTGGACAGACAAAAACATTGTTTATATAAATATTACAAACAAAGATTGCAGATATTATACACAATACTTAAATTTTATTATATACTCACAAGACACGATAACGGCCATCTGACCGGTGTAAACCAAAAACAAATTGGTACCATACACAAACACCATGTTGCTGATCACCAACGACGCATTATTGCCCACACCACGGTAGAGGTATCCAAAAATTAGGGCAATGACGAAATGTGCGAGAACCCGCAACATAAGGTTTGACTGAAATTTTTTAAACCATATACGTTAACACAACAATAGAGTAGTTAAAACTTTGTTTTCGATAACTCCAAAAGTTGATTTTTCGCGTACGTGAAGTTGGAGCCACAGCTGATAGCACACTTGCAACAGACACGCCCAACAATCATACTCTTGGTGCTTGTTAGACGTTGTTAGAAAGTTATTATAACTTGTTAGACTTTACTATCCGAGTTATGCATTTGTGGTGCCAAATTCACGTATTACAGACTAAAAGTTCGAAGTTAAGGAAAACGATGTCAAAGAACTCCAAGACGCTTGCTACTTGTTAGGCGTTGTTAGAAATGTTTGGCGTCTCTGCAGGTATAGAACTGGGAAGGTAATGTCCAACAAGCTCCATAAACAACGTCGTACAAGTACCAAATATGTTTGTTGGACTTGTTTTCAGGTTCAATAAGAGCGCTTTCAGTACCTGCAGTGGCACCAATCACCTAATTCATCTATAGCATATGGCATAGTAGATATTTTCTAGATGGAAGGGGGATATTGAAGTACTGTAGGATACTGAAGGCAATCCCGCTGTGGATCCAGAATTTACGTCAAAACGTAAAAATAAATTATCAAACATTGCATTATGTAGGTGCTCTTTGATTGAATCTAAAAAGGAGGATGATGGGGGGGGGCTTGATGTATGATATCATAGTATATTTTAAACCCTTTGGCGCCAATGAGTACTTGTATGGTACCAACTTCCCGCAGGTTTATTTCCCAAGTTGTTTCCCACGTTCAGCATTATATTATATTTATATGCTACAAATATTATACTGAACAATTTAACGAATATCGTACATATTTTTTCCCCCCGGATGTAATCGTGGAGTTTGTTTACAATTGGTTAATCCCATTCATTAATTGGTATATATTTTACTCACTTTGTTACGTTTGTACATGATTACATTTCGCAAATACAAATGATAGGCTTGTAAATAATACGGAGGTTTGTTTAAAATCTTGGATTTGAATGTTTGTTTCTTGTCGGCAATATTATTATTTTTCAAGCATGTGCCTACAAAATGAATACATTTCCTTTTGAATTATTATCACTATCATCCGTAACATTATACATTTCAATAAATATAAAGTAAACTCACCATTTTCTAGTTGTAATTCTTGATCCCCGGAAATTAAATGGCAGTTATTGTGGTCCTTAATGTATGAGATTTTTGTTGTATCAGCCAGTTTGACCAGTACATCAGTACCATACTCGCCTATTGCCACTTCGATCACTAATATTGATAAACAAAAAAATAAATTAGGTACTATCAAAATAAATCTTAACCCCATCTCACAAAGTTTTTATCTCATAATAAATAAAATACAATATTATTAAATAAATATTATAAGATAAACTCAAACGTTTTATGTACCTTCAGCTGGTGAGTAGGCACTTAAACTCTAGACACAAATGATAATTATTTGAACTTATATATTTCCAAATAATTCAATACACCTAAGTATTACAGTTTTCTGTTTATACAATGGTATGGATTTTAATAGATACAAATAATAAATATGGATTTTTAAAAAATATTAAGATAAATAAATTAAAATATATACTTTTCAAAGAATATTATTTCTTACTGATAAGTTGATAACAATTTTCAAGTTGTACATTTAATTTTAAATTGGTTCAAATTACTTAAAACGATTAATCAAATATTTCATTGAATTGGTATAAACGTGATTTTTATTCAAAAAATCCCATGGGCTTAAAACCCAACTTAACCTTATACTTACAGAAGTCTGCAGGATTGTGGTATGGTGGACATACGATGGTCCGTTCGGCAAAGTAAGGGATAACGAAGTTGGGAGGTCCTTGGTAGATGCACTGGCCCGAGCTCAACGCATAAATTTGGTCAAACTTTTCAAACAGTAAAGCACTGGGCTGGTGCAGTGTGCACACCATGGTACGGCTTTGGTTGTGGGCTAGGTCAGCCATCAGTGATACGAACTGGCTGCAAGATTGGCTATCTAAACCACTATGAAAATATATTCTAATTTAGTTTTGCTTCTCGTCATAATATAAATTAAATAATATAAACGTCATTAATAATATTTTTATTGTATTTTTTACCTACATATTCATCATAATACAATATGTAGGTATAGGATTTTAATTCAAAATCATCTATATGTTTTTATGAGACAAACACACCATACACTATGTTGGTTTACATGTGAGCATATTTGAATTCGCTGTTTAACAGTATATCAATAACGTATCAATAGTCGTACTACAAACGTACCAAAAATACGTTGTATATATATTATTAATAAGTGGTACAACGGTAACAAATGGAACGATTTTGTGTTAAATATGATTCAAAGTTCTAAAATGTACGTGACCACAGTAAATAATTATATACTTCACTTAGAACCAGTCACGAGTCAAATATACATAGGTTTTCAACAAGGTGACGGTCACACAAATAAATAAAAAATGTCTGTCGATGTATTGTTCAAATGTAGCCGAGTGAAATGTCCCGATGTCATAAGATAAAAACTTAATATTATTAGTAACTATTTTATGCGAGAGATCATCCTCTGACGTTCTGGATGACGTCATAACGAATGAATCAGAGTAATTACAAAGAAAATAATGATAATAATATACGATGAAAGGATTGTTCCGTGTCGAACAACAAAACTGGTCCAACGGTTTTGTACCGTATAATAAATCAACAAAAAGTATACTTTAGATTACGTAATAGGTTTTAAACGATCATTTGATAAGAACCTGTACGTATTTTTGGAGTTTCATTCTACTAGCGAGAATATTTATTCGGGTTTTATGCTTCTTTTGTGTTTTTTTTTCTGTAATCATTCATCAAACACTGAAGAGAACACCTATACGGCTATACCAACTAAACGAATGAAACGTTGGGAAAGTTGACCTTCAAAAAAGTCACGTCGTAACTGACTCGTGAAAAGCGTTATTAAAGAAACCACACTGCCGACCATAGTGTATACATTATACATATTATTGTCATATTAGATATATATAATAGATTAATTTTATACGATACTTGTGACTTATAATTGTTTCATGAATTTAAAAAAACATGTCTACCTAAATAAATAAATAAATGGACGCTACCATCAACTGGTGACAATTTTTTTCCCATAAACTTATTTAAAAATGTCATGTACAATGGGAAACATATTATACCTAAGTATATTAGTCAACCATAGTACACAATAATTCAATGCTTATAATTACATCGTAATCAATAAAAACACAAACAAATTACACGCAGTACTCCCACATATTATTTATAGTTGTTCTTTTAATTGTGGTCATGGATATACAAGGTGTAACGAAATAGCTGAAAAATTAACAGACTATGTCTGTAATAACGGTTTGTTTAAAATTTAAACTTTAAACCGATGATAAAAAATGTTATTTAAATGTTATGATTAAAAAAAAAACATTGACTCTTATAGGTATATAAGTATATGTGCATTATGTAAATATTATAGTAATTACATTAAGCATAATAAATAAAGGTCAATCAATTGATTGCTATATAATGTTTCTATATCTCCGTTCTATAATTTTTTTTTAATCGTATTTATTTACTTAAAAAAATCCTACACCCAATGTATTATGTGGGAAATGAAATATTATTAACTGAAATTACCTAATAATAATAATAATAATAATAATAATAATAAAAATACATAATAATATATATATCGTAAGATGTGCAGTATACTCACGTGGTGGGCTCGTCTAGGAATAATATCGACGGGTTGGTTATAAGTTCTAAGGCGATTGACAGTCTCTTTTTCTGGCCTCCGGAGAGCCTTTTGGTAACGGTGTCTCCGTGGATGGACAGCCCCAACGCGTCCAGCAGGTCCTCCACTTGGCTGGCCTTTGATACAGCTGACACAGTTGTCGGTAACTTGAGGTGGGCCGCCACCGTCATCGATTCCCTGACGGTCAACAGGTCTCGAACGTAATCATCCTGCTGTATGTAACAGCTGATGTTGGCCATTTGTTTTTCATCTCGCAACGAGTCGTTCAAATACACTTGACCCGAACTTCCACTTATCCTGCAAGGCACATTTAAATCCCGTCAGCCAAGTACTATATTATAATATTATGATGTATTTGGGGCGATCGGGAAACATATATATGGTCCCGAAAGGTCAAATGCTTATACGAAGAATTAGGCAGCTATTAAAAAAATATAAATCAAATAAAACATCGTAACTAAAGTGAGGTTGTTTCCAGTGCCTTTTTAAGTTTTAATAAGGATAAATTGTTCAAACCTCTAGTTACGGATACGAATTTGACATCCATATGAGATATAATATATTATACAGAATACAGATCTAGGTATTAACCAGTCCATTAGGTACATACTACCTGTGAAACCTGTAGAGTAAGAGATTTAGTCAAATTTTTTCCCGAGTTAGGGAGCACGTTTAAAGCTTAGAATATGGCAAACATATATTTTAAATAGTTTTGTTTGTATTTAGGTATCAAAAATAGTATCTCTTGTGCGCAACAAACAATAATACATGACCGATTCAAACACTGTTATTTCTATAACAGAAAATTAAAAAAACTTGCTTAACATTTTGTTGAATACCTTTAATAGAGTTTTTATTTCCGAGGTGAGTCGGGTCCGACTAATGATAAAAACTTAATATTGACTCCAAAAATAGTCCAAAATAAAATCCAATTTAATTATTTTTAAATAATACAATTACAAATTGTACCACCATAGTGCAAGTCATAAAACAATTATACTTGTTAAGCATAAAATCATTTTTGGGGGACTTATATATTATTTGAGCGGGCTAAGCCCCTAATACTTGCCTATATATGACATAACACCTAGTTCAATTTAAATTCGAAATGAAATTATGGTTAGTAACTAATATAATATTATATATTATAGGCATAGGTATGGAACAATATAATATGTTATATAATTATTATCATATTGTATAATTGTATAATTCACCAATAAAATATTGCGGAAATATTAAGCTGTTCCCCTTTGTAACTGGCAATTTGAGTGCAGATGTTGGCCAAACTACTTAAGAAATGCACAGAGCGTTGTCTTTGTGCGATTTTAATTGGCCAAGCCTTCGCATGCGGAAACTACACGTGGTTCCAATTATTGATATTATCATATAGGTAACGATGTAACGATTAATAAAAATACGTTGAATTGTTTTTTTTTTATAGATTAAATACGACTTCCTTGGTAATATAATAAGAGCCAATAAACAAATTTAGTACACCTACACCTATACTACTCTAAGACAAAATAAAATGTAAAAAACTTTTCAAAAATAATTTTTTTCCAGTTAATATAGGTACATAATGTAAGAAATTCAAGTAAAATGTATTTATTAGTATAGGATGAAAGTTAGGTATCTAATGATCTAATACAGTTATTAAATATATATACACTTAATCCACATAAATTTGTATCCATGGACTTTATATGTTTTGAATATTCTACCATATTTAGAGCTGCAAATATATTGAAGAAACGAGGATTATTCTAAAAATGTTTAAAGTAAAAATTAAAATGTTTAACAAACGTAATATTTTTAATTACTTGTAACTATTGCATAAGTATACCTATACTTGTCTTGTTTAAGTAAAATAACTGAGTCCAAGATACACTAGTTTAATTTTATCATTTATTATGAGGTGACTAACTTAATATTGTTTTGATTTTTAATTTGTATACATAAAATATTACATGCACGTGGCTTATTATGCACGTACCTAAGTGTTTGCCTGCATGGTTATCGGATTTTGAACAAAGAACAATAAATGGCTATTGTTTGTCGGAAGTTTAATTCAAAATCATATTAAATTATTAACCCATCAAAATACAAATCATCTGATAAGTACTTATATTCTTAAAAAATAACTGCATCACTTCTCACAATATTTAATATTATGTAAAGGTACAAAGTACAATCTATCTTGGTTCGTGTTTACATTTAAAACTAATCAAACACATGATTAATTAAATTTAAGTGAACCATATACAAATTTGTTTGCACAGATGCTGCATGCTATACAGTGTAACAGGAGACTTGACAAAAAAAAAATCCTGGTACTTAAAAATTGTGAAAATTATATGATTAATAAATAGTTTAAAAAATATACGTATATCAGTAAATTCCCAAAAATAATATTTAAAACAAAAGTTATTACGTTCTAAATTAATTTACTCAATAAAATATTGAAAGGTAATTAAAAAAATTCTAAAAAATAAACTACTTGGCTTAGATAATTATTTTTACCATAAAAATTGTTTTTATAATCATATTTACAAATTGACTATTTTGAATTTTTCCAAAAAAATTTAAATCAAATTTTAAATTTTTTATTTTCAGTATTAAAAAATAAAAAATAAATGTTTTATATTATATGTGTAACGCAAGTGACTATAAAATAAAAAAATTTAAAATATTGCTTAGAACAAAAGTTATTTCATCTATCACTCTGTTACACTCTGTATATTTTATATTTTTATGGGTTTTAAAAACTATTAAATTATTGCATTTTTATTTGTATTTGTTTTTACAATAACAATAATCAACTAACAATTATCGTCTTGTTTGTAGTTATAGAATAAAAGTCAGTGTGAAATTCGTATTTCCCTTATTTGATTTACACAATCTATACAAATTTAGTATAATAAGCGTATATTATGATATCAACTGAAAACGGTTAAACACAAAAAAAACTTGATTTAGAGAATCTGTCATTGACGACACTCCTATAGAGACTTAGTTGGAAATAGTAACTTAGGAATAAGCCACGATACCAGTTTCTTTTCGACTTTTTGGGGCAAGTAATAAGCTTTTGCTAGGATTTTTGGATGGCCATTTAAATACTTATGATAAAGAGTGTAAGATTTATGAGCTTTTTTTTACGATGTTTCATTTAGGAATTAAAGTATATTTAGTGCATTTGTGATAAGTCAGAACAATTGTTTGGGTGTTATTTTAAGTGTATTGAAATCTGATTATTTTAGCAAAGCCCAAATTCGTATGTCAAGAGAAAGAGCTTGTAAAGATTACATTTTTTAAAGAGTATTAGTTTAGATTTGAAGAGGATAAATTGTTTAAATAAGCTCGGGAGCGTGAGCTCATATTTTTATTTAATGACACAGTAGTTAATGTTAAACAATTTATCAGGAGTACAGTAGGTAGGTAAATTTATATCTTATTGTATAATATGCGTCTAAACATTAGTGATAAGTTTAAAACCTATACCCAATCATATAATAGAAATGCCCTATATTATATCAAAGAACCCAGAACATATTATTATATTTTTGTCGCCTTAAGGTCGCATGGATACAACGTTGACCGACAACCAAAATACTCGGTTGTCTTGTTCGACAAAAATTACATTTCCTATCCAGGTTTTATTACTCCAATAAAACAATAGCCCGTGAGCTAGCATTTATTAATAGTAGATTTTAATGCATTCATAATTCTTAGTTACACACCGCGGTACACGACGCTTATTAAAATATTATTGTTTTAATGCACTCACGAGTATCCGGCGAGAACGTTGAGTAATGTGCTCTTGCCGCAGCCCGACGGCCCCATGACGGCTGTTAGTTGTCCAGACCGGAAATTGCCGTTGATGCCGTGCAAAATCTCTTTTTTCACTAAAAACGTAAAACAAATATTTACTGACCATGACACTTTAATTATACCCATTTTGGTAGGTACCTAGCTTAAGTATATCATTATCATTATTTAAATACCCATAAATCAGTTGTACAATAAGGTTAGTATTGTTATGTTTGTATGTATACGTAACACGTGTGCAGTGTTAGCCAAGCTTTTACTACACTTCTCACATGACGCTGTCGATTACATAAACACAACAATATTTAGTGAAATTAAATATTAAGATTTAAACATGACATCAGATAACGGTATGGGAAACTGTTATACCTACTCGACAAGCCTCATTAATAAGACCTCGACATACACTTCAAATAATATTATATAATTATATATAATTTTATAGTCTTTTACTACTATCCTGAGAGTCTAAACATAATAATATAGGGTAATGACAAATAAATAAGTGTAGGTTGTTTATAATACCAAACAACATATGATAATTTCGTATATATAATAAGTACAGTTATTAAAAAAAAAACATCGTCGAATTTGAATTGTATTAAGAAAAATTGCGACCTGTTTTAATTTTTGGGACGTTGTATTATTTTGAAAATCATTTTAATTCAATCAGTTTTTATTTCATATTTTCCGAATACATTATAAAACATATTATCTTATTGCCAGCATATTAAGCTGCAGTAGCTGGGAATTAGAAGGAAATCTACAACATATGCGTTTGACACGAAAATGTTTGATACGAGTGACTCGTGAAACACACCGATAGTATACAATTGTATAACGTTTTATATAGTAATAAAAAATAATGTATTCATTTTGTGCTCAATCGGGCCGTTAAAAAAATGTCTGTCAAAAAAGCCGAGCTCAACCAGGGAGCTATGGCACAACATATCTTTCATCGAATATTTTTGATGCCACCCATCGTCTTGATCAGTCACCGACAGCTTAATATTAAAAAAAAAAAAATCAACACGTCCACGGTGTTTTTTTTCTCTCGAAAAGTCAAAGGTCGTTTTCGATTTGTGGAACAGCAATGTCACCGAAGAACGAAACTACTATAGTCGGATTCCGCTGGGACGGAAACGAATTTCAAGGCGGAAATCGTTGGTCATATCATTTGATAATAATATTATGTATGGTTGTATCACTGTCGCGTCTGATAGATACGGCTTTACTAAAAATTGTATTCTACTCGCAGGTTCACCTTTATTTATATATTGTACATTTCAAGGCTACAACCACAGGCGACGACACATACACATTTCTGGGTATTATTTAATTTATTTTTTTGCTCCGATAGTTATAGGTATCATAATAGATAAGCACATTTTTTTTTACATGGTTATTGAAATGTTTTTGTCATGGTATAATTTTGTCATTATTATCAATCAACGATATTAAAATATATATATTATACAAGTGATCGAAAAAATGATAAAAAAAAAACAAGTGAAATAGAGGTAGATATGGTATTTTTTTTAAATTTTTTTTTCGAAGTATTTCCGTGTAAAGTCTTACAAATTTTACCCTTCATCGATACGTCGACATACTGCTTGTGTACAACATAATATTGTTTCTTTTTGTTCAACTGACAACAATATTATATCATATTATTATTATAATTAATCCAATCAGTTATCACAAAGATCGTAGGTAGGTGGTACATGATAATTATTTGGGTCATTCGACGGCCGTGACACTCAACTTGCCCAGTTGCCCGCATTATAGTTGTACTGTGAGCTCGCCTCCTCCTTGTGCGTATATTATTATATTGTTCAGATCGAAGGCCGTCGACGGCGGTAACGATTATACCGAAATGTATTATTCTGCTACCGGCAAGTGAGGTTCGTAAATAAATATTACAATGATATAAATTACAATATTACAATATCCTAATTGAATAGTAAAACTCCCGTGGGGTGATAATATTGTTTATATTTATTAACTTTTGGTTAATTGTTTACATCATTCGCCGTGACTTCTTCCCCAGAAACCATCCGATTAGATCTCGGTGTGGCTATAGCCTAGCTATAACTGTTATAACAAACGAAACGAAAAAAAATCTACAACTACATATGGGCTTAGGTTTTTTTAATTTTATAACCGCTATCGCACGTCACCAAATATGATAAGCAGCATGCTGAGAATTCACTATAATATTATCGTTGATTGCATTCGATAATATTATTATGAAATTAGGTACCTATTATGGTTTGTTTTTTAGTGCTTTGACGAAACATAAAATTTTTATCGAGTAGTTACCACATTATAACTTCTTTCGTTACTAAAATATAATGTAGATGCACATTACAGCACAAATATGTTTTACGGCTTTAAATGTAGGTATTTCAACATAATAATATTATACATGGATACAATATAATGTTTAGAGTTTTCGAAGTCACTTGATAAGTTGTGTCCATATTATATAAAATGAAATGTATTAAACGTTACAAACGATAATAGTTATCGCTAATTTATGTTCCGAAACGGCTTTGGAAAAATTGAATCAGATTAAAATATACATATATGAAAGTTTGTATTTACGATAACATTTTGTATAACCAATAACGTCATGTTTGTATACACATTATAGATTAGGTACATTATGTCCGTATATTATACGAATAAGGAAAAGCCATTATTATGGAGTTATAATATTATATATAATATAGTCTCTTCACGACGCACTAAAACGAGGGAATTGATTTTAATTTGTATATTTACTAAATTCACACTTGTTAACATTATTTTTATTATAAATAATAAAATGTTTAGCTTAAACCAATTATGGTGTAATATATTGTATTTAGTAATTTAGTTTATAATGACTAAGAAACAAGTCCCATAATATGATCACAACATGTCAACATAACGACATTTAAAACAAACTAAAATTCTAAAATATACAATGTACCTATATACCTATCTATATTATCGATCACACCTACGCGTGACTTATACAATTTTGTAAAAAATGTAAATATATTTAATAATATGAATAAAATATTTTAAGTTTCATTTTAAAAAGTGAAGCTTGTGGGGTTAGTTTTAGACTATCCATTATAATTTAAATATTCTGAACCAAATAAAACATTTTAAGTATCCAATCACATAATCAAAGTAGGTACTTACTAGTTACTATTCAGTACTCACATCTAATTTATGAAATTATAAATAGTAAAATACATTTTTTTGTAACAATTTAAAAAGTAGATATTTATAACTCAAAATCATTTTTTATTTAGTTAGTCTACTCGTTTGTTTTTCTGTAATTGTATAAATCTTACCATTCACTATACAATGTTTTTGGTTGACTAAAATACAAAGATGAAAGTATTATCATACTCGATTTGAAAGCAACTATAATCATATTAAATACATACTGTACACATTGAAGTTAATTTTTTAACCAATAATTATGTAGGTACCATAAGTCCATTAATTTATATAATTATATAAACATAATGGAGACATGAAGTCCTTCTATATAAAAATATAATGTTCCTCGAATAAAATAAAAATTGTATAACCAATAACATCACTAGGTAATAGGTAGGAGGTACTCTCAAAATCTAAAAGTGAATTGATTATAGGTTAGATAATAAATACATTTTATAAAACGTTGTAAAATATAATATTATAGAAATAAAATCATTTATGAACAATATTTATAGGAATAAGTTATTTAGAGTTTATTGAACTGAACTAAAATATCGAATTAAAGACTTAAAAAATGAAGGAATTATTTGAGAAGTAGAAAGACTATTATTTTATCAATATTATAATGTTTTTAAATGTTGTATATCAGTTTATTCTTCAAACCTGTTTGGTATGTTATTAGAGTGTTTAAAATTGTAAATGTTTTAATTAAATTAATTAAACTAACTATTGTCAGTCAATGAACCTTGTCAGACGAAACAGTCTTATTCTTTCAATAAAATATGTAAATCTTAGTAAATTTGCGTGAAAAATTCCAATGACATCAATGCTAGATATTATAATAGAAGTGGCTTATATAGATTACGAAATATTGATGTTTTTCGGTAATTCAGTCATACATTTCAATTTTAAATTTCTCATGAAATATTTGTATATAATCATTTATTATTATTATTATTATTATATATTATATTGTTCTGAAAGCATGTATTGTGTCATAAAAAAGAACAAAAATTGTATTTTATACTAGGTAATATAATACACAGAATCATCAATATTTATTTACATAATATCTACATGGAAATAGAATTGCTCAAATTAGAAATGTAATTAAAATATTAAATACCTAATTGAAATAAAACAATTGAAAACGTAAAACCATAACAATATTAATAATAAGATAGATACACGATATGATAGTATACCTGCAAGTTCTATGTAAGTAGTTCAGTAGTTTAGAAACATTTAAATATGTCTTGCAAAAGTAATTCGAGATAATTTTAGATTTGTTTTTGGCATAAAGCCTCAAAGATATTAATTAGTTGGCTTAATACCACATTATCTACTATTTACGATCAACAATAGCCAATAAGATGTGATAGAAGAGGTTATACGACAGCCAATACATCACCTTGTTTCTATAGGGTATATATTTCAACAACCAACAAATTGCAACAATAACATATAGGTACAAAATCAAATATTATTTTAAATTCAATAAAAACTCGGAAGTCCTAGATTTATCTCTCGTTTTATACAATATTATTATATAAGACCATATTTTTATGCACACTTTCGATTATTATTGTTAGTCGGCCATTGACATTACAGAAAGCAATCCGGTTCAAGGTCGCCAAGACTCCAGTTTGCCACAATAATTCACTAATAATTAATTTCAATTTGTGTAGAAACATTACTATGATTACTAATTACTTGGTTATGACTTTTAATTAGTTTTAAATGCATACCTATTTCAAAATCGGATGACATGAACTATTTGCAAACATTATTATTTCCATATTTTTAAGCATAGGTGAGTACCTATATTATGTACATAATACATAGATATATGTCT